TCGGGCGGCCTTCGAGCGCCTCCTTTCCGCCCACCGCGGGTCGCGACAGCAACCGCAGATCCTTTTAGAGATCTTCAGTGGCTGTGGCCGGCTCGCCGCCGAGCTCAGGAAGCTGGGCTACCTGGTTCTGGAGTGGGACGTGCCGCGAGGCCCGAGCTGGGACCTGACGCTCAGGGGCAACCAGCGGCTCATCCGCGGCTGGATCGCCGCCGGGCGCATCTGGGGCGCGCACCTGGGGGCGCCATGCAGCACCTGGAGTCGCGCTCGCGACCGCGGGCCGATCCGTGACCCAGAGCGGCCGCGGCCTGGCCCCCCATCGCTGCTGCGCAGCGACGAGCACTTGCTCGGTCTTCCTGAGCTGCGCCACCCCGCCGATCTGGAGGCCGTTCGAGTTAGGGACGAGCTGACCCGGCTGAGCATCAGCATCATGGAGCAGCTCAAGCACCAGTAACGTCCAGTCACCTTGGAAAATCCATCCTCATCAAGAATCTGGCTGCTCCCTCTGCTCCTCAAAGCAAAATCGTGGAAGTCGGTCTCCTACATCGACGCCTGCTACTGCATGTTTGGCGAGAGATGGAAGAAGCCCACGCGTTTCTTGGGCTGCCGCATCGATCTGACCGGTATCCAGAGAGTTTACACTGGAAGAAAATGCTGCCGTACTGGTCTACCCCATCTTGCCTTGTCTGGCTTCGACGGTCCGCGAGGATGGCTCGCAAAGAAGAAGGCTGAGAAATATCCCGTTGAGCTGTGCTCCCACTCGGCCCGCACTTTTTCGAATGCTCGCGCTGCTTTAGACATTCACAAATCTTCTCGCGCGTGGTCAGGATGAGTTTTGTGACCGCCCGTGGGACAATACCCTGCCCACCCGCCCTGAGACGCCAAATTTTGGACAAGTGCGGAAGAGTCGTGCCCCCTTGGGACCCTCGAGGCTTGCCGATCAGCAGTCGGCCTCGTTCTGTTGGGCCCACGGCGCACTTGCCTTTAAGCGCAGGCGGCGAGCTTCCGCCACAGAGAAGATGAAAGAAGGATCGTCTGTCTGCCAGTGTTTGTGCTTCCATCTTGGCCACGGTTTAAAGCTGCTCAGGCATGCATACTGTTTCACTGTGAAATGCAATGCAGCGTCAGAGAACGGCCGCAGGTTT